AGAATCACTCCTGAAAAGAAGGATCATTGATCACTTAAAAACACACAGCTTGCTGGATCCAAAGCAGTATGGCTTTACTGAGCGCAGATCATGTCAGACTAATCTGATTGGATTTTTTTTATTATATTGCCAATGTTTTAGACCAGGGTGGTGCTGTGGACAGCATATCTTGATTTCAGCAAGGCATTTGATACAGTTCCATATAATGATCTAATACAAAAGTTGTACAAGCTAGGACTTAACCCTTGGGTGATTCAGTGGATATGCAGCTGGCTAAAGGATAGATACCAGAGTGTGGTTGTAAATGGAGTTCACTTGGAACAGAGACCAGTCACTAGTGGTGTACCACAAGGCTCTGTACTAGGTCCTGTTCTATTTAATCTATATGGAAGTAACATAACTAAAGTTTTGTTGAGTAAGGTTTGTCTTTTTGCTGATGACACAAAGGTGTGTAACAGGGTTGATATCCCTGGAGGTGTCTGTAACATGGAACATAATTTGGCATTGCTGGAAGATTGGTCAAAAAAGTGAAAATTGCAGTTCAATGTTTCTAAATGTAAAATAATGCACCTAGGGAAAAAGAATCCTTTAAGAGAGTACAATATTGGGGGTACAGTGTTGGCCAGCACTTCAGAGGAAAGGGACTTGGGGGTACTTATTTCAGATGATTGCAAAATGAGCAGTGTGGCCAGGCAGTGGAAAAAACAAATAGAATTCTAGGATGCATCACTAGAGGGGTCACCAGCAGGAGGACGGAGGTCCTGATTCTCCTATATAGATCTTAGTTAGAATACTTAGAATATTTAGAATACTGTGTCCAGTTCTCTAGACCTCACTTACAAAATGATATTGATAAGATAGAAAGAGTCCAGAGATGGGTAACAAACATGGTGAAATGTCTGGGGGATAAAAAATAGGAGGGCAGGATTTTCAACACAAAACCAAAATCAAGAACACGGGGGCATCAATTTAAGATAACTGGAATAAGTTCAAAACTAATCTCAGAAAGTACTATTTTACTGAAAGAGTAGTTGATGCTTGGAATAAACTTCCAGCAGAGGGAGTGAGCCAGTCAAATAGCTTCAAACATGCTTGGGACAAGCATAGATCTATTCTCAGACAAAAAAAGTCAACAAAGAAAAAATAACAACCCCCCCTAAAAAAACCCCCAAACAAACAAAAAAAAACAAACAAACAAAAAAACAAAACAAATACCCCCCCGAAAAAACACACAAAAAAGGCCCAAACACGGGCAGTCTCAATGGACCCCACTGTCTTTTTCTGCCATCACTTTTCTATGTTTCTATGTCTCAAACTGGTATAATTAAATTATTGTCATTAACAGATAGTCATTTGCGAACTAAAGAGACACTTTAAGAAATAAAAAATGCTTAATTGAAATAAATTTAATGTTTTCTTATGGATTGTAGTATATTTATTATGTATTACTATATTTATGTATTGCTCCCCCTTGTGGAACCACATGGGTACACTGTAATTTTCTGTCTATGCTCCTGTTGTTTTCCAATAAAGCAAGAAGCCATGTGTTCTGCATCACCTTGCCTGGTAGGAGTCATATCTGCAGCAAATTCCAACAAGATTGCATTTCAGCATTGTTTCAAGTGTGCATTGATTCTCTTCTTTTACTTGCTTGGGTACAACAGACAATTAGCCATCTGAGTATATTCTTTTTTACAATTGTCAGTTCAGTGGCATATTATCACACTACGTAGTAAACGTTAAGCTACAGATGCCCCATCCGTGATTTACAAAAATTCCTGCCAAGTCATTAAGGCAAAAATAATGGTCTTTCATTCAGACATATTGATCAGTGGATGTTTCATCCATAAAGTACATTGAAGCATTCTAGAACCTTTGCCATGTTCAGAAGGTGACTTTGCTTTTTGAATGTAAATAAAAGTGTTAAAACATTTCAATTTAGTTGTCACTGTCAGTTGCTGTACTAAGTAGGCAATTTAAATTGTGTTGTGTATAACTACATAGCTACATAGTCTGGCTGAAAAAAGACAAAAGTCCATCCAGTTCAACCATTAAAAAAAAAAGTTATAATCCTACACCCAGAGTTGATGCAGAGGAAGGCAAAAAAACCCCAGCAAAGCATGATCCAATTTGCTCCTGCAGAGGAAAAAATTCCTTCCTGATCCCCTGAGAGGCAATTGGATATTCCCTGGATCAACTTTACCTATAAATATTATATCCAGTTATATTCTGCATATCCAAGAAAGAATCCAGGGCTTTTTTTAAAGCAATCCACAGAGCTGGCCAGAACCAACTCTTGAGGGAGTCTATTCCACATTTTCACAGCTCTTACTGTGAAGAAACCTTTCCATGTTTGGAGATTGCATTTCTTTTCCTCCAAACGTAAGGAGTGCACCCTTGTCCTCTGTATAATGACCTCAGGGTGAATAGCTCTACACCGAGTTAACTATATGAATCACTGATGTATTTATACATGTTGATCATATCCCCCCCCCCCTTAATCTCCTCTTCTCAAGACAGAATAAATTCAGTTCCTCTAATCTTTCCTCATAGCTGAGCTCCTCCATGTCTCTTATCAGTTTTGTTGCCCTTCTCTGTACTTTCTCCAGTTCCCCAATGTTCTTTTTTGTAAATTAGTGCCCAAAATTGAACTGCATATTCCAGATGAGGTCTTACTAATGATTTGTACAGGGGTAATATTACAAAATTAATGTTATGAAAAAAATCAACACCACTTGATTTTAAATAATATTATGCAATATTAAGAAAGTTCAGAGGAGCGTGAATACCAAATATTCCAAAGACTTTAGCAAGTGCAGGTGATAAAGTGGATATGAATAACAACCAATGGAAAATAATCCATAAGCGACTGAATTGCCCCCTCACCTCCTTGAAGCAACCCAAAAGGACCAAATGCTTGTAGGAACACAAGAAAGGACCCTCCATGTTTAGGTCCCCTACGCGGATGATATCAGTCCAAAGCGGTGATATCCCCTTCACTGGTATTGTGAAAGAAGCAGCAGGGTCCCCTCCAGAGATGTTTAAATGAGATACAGCCAGCTCACATAAAGATAAAGATCAGGGTAAAGACAGAAAAGAGATCTTCCATAGTGTAAATCTGTTTAATATATCTTTAATATGTTCATTTAATTTTGGTACATATTTTCTTGTTGTTTTATCACAGCACTTGTCACTATTGTGGAATCTGATCCCCCATTTAGAGATTCACATTTTGTCACTTGTTTCTTCACTTTATCTGGCATTATTTAGCCATTGTGATCACTATATTGCAAGCTATTGCTCCCAAATTTCAGAGATTCTTTTATATACATATTTTTCATTTTTTTTCTTTTTTCCTTTATTAACATTGTTCACATCAGTGCTGTCCCATTTTGGACTTTTTGCTTTCACTGTTTCTTGTTTTGACACCATGTTTAGTCACTTTTTTTTTCACTTTTTATCCTTGAGTGGATCAGTTCACTTCACGATAAGGGATTATTATTCACAGTATACAGTAATAGTCACTTATAAGTTATTCCTAAACCATATTAATTGTATTATGGATTTATTTATTAGAAGGCAATATTTAGTGTAGCGCTGAACCAGTTTATATATATTTTTTCCACTTTAGTATCCATTTGGTATATGGTTGGGTGCTAGCAGCCCCCCCCCCCCCCCATTCTATGACATTGTTCATTTAGTAGCGCAGTAGGCTCATACTGTAGTTACAGGGGTAATATGATATCTCTCTCTCTGGAGTCTATACCTCTTTTAATACAAGAGAGGGTTTTGCTGTCGTTAGAAACTGCGCAGCTTGGCGTTGCATACCATTATTAAGCTTGTGATCTACCAGAACTCCCAGATCCTTCTCCACCATTGATTCCCCCAGTTGTACTCCCCCTAGTATGTATGATGTATGCATATTCTTAGCCCCCAAGTACATAACCTTACATTTATCAACATTAAACTTCATTTACCACAGAGTTGCCCAATTAAACAGAGCATTGAGGTCAGCTTCTAAAGTTGGAGACATCCTGTAAGGATGTTATTCCACTGCACAGCTTGGTGTCATCTGCAAAGACTGAAATGTTATTTATAATCCCAGACCCTATATTGTTTATAAATATATTAAAAAGTAAGGGTCCTAACACTGAACCTTGGGGTACACCACTGACAACCCTAGACCATTCAGAGTATGAATCATTAGCCACTACTCTCTGAATGCGATCTTTTAGCTAGGTTTCTATCCATTTACATACTGATTTTTCCAAGCCTGTAGACTTTACCTTACACAGTAGCCGTGTGTGGGGAACTGTGTCAAACGCTTTTGCAAAATCAAAGTATAGCACGTCCACCGCCACCCCTCTGTCCAAGGTTTTGCTCACCTCCTCATAAAAAGAAATCAGATTTGTTTGACAACTTCTGTCTTTCATGAATCCATTCTGTCTGTTGCTTAAAATATTTTTTTTCCAGCAAGAACTCATCTATGTGTTTTTTTTATTAAACTTTCCAGTATCTTCCCAACTATAGAAGTTAACACCTTCCTACCTGGCTTATAGCAGATTGACGGCCGGGCGAGACACTCCTCGTTGTGACTGGGCGTCATATGACGTCCTGTCAAACCAAGCCGCTCATGTGGCAGCAGGGCCACGCAGAAGCGCAATCTGTCACTGGCTGTGTCCACGGGACACAGGCAATGACATATCACTACATCGGCCCGTTGCCAGTGTCATGTGACTGCTGTGAGCAATCACAACAGATCACATGTCAATTGTATACAATGGATGGCTTCCTGTCATGCCATCCATTGTATACAATTATGCTGTGACTGGTCAAAGCAGTCACATGATACAGACAGGGCCAATCACAGTCCATCTGTATCATGTGATGAGCTTTTCCCAATTACAGCTAATCACAACAAGAGATTGAATGAATCAGTTTGGTATTAGCAATCATAATGTGATAAAAAAAAAATCCTGATCACTTGCCCAGAATAGTTCAATGTTACTATGGTAACATTGTATTGCTTTGGTCAAAAAAAAGAAAAACAAATTTAATAAAAAAATAATAGAAAATTAAAAAAAGATACAACTTACATTATTGTAATTGTGTCTCTGATCACCGCCACACCAGTTATAATGCTGTACTGGACTGGTGACAATATGTAAAAAAATGTTAAAAAAAATTGTGTTTTTTACTTTTTTTTTTAATTTCTACGTTTTCCAAAAAAAATTTACAAAAAAATGACACAACCTTCAAAAAACTCATCATGCCTTTTACTAAATACCTTGAACTGTCTATTTTCCAAAAATTGGTTATTTGGGAGGTATTTGCACTATACTGGCATTTTCGGGCCTCAAGAAATGAGATGGGTCATCAGTAAATCAGGATTGATCAATTGTCAGATATACTCTATATATATCTTGGTTTGTGGACTCTATAACTTTCCTAAAGACTAAATAATACACTGATTTGGGGTATTTTCACCAAAGAAATGTATCAGAATACATTTTAACCTAAATTTATGAAGAAAGTTTATTTATTTTGGTAAATTTATAACAGAAACGAAGAAAAATTTGTTTTTTTTCAAAAGTTTTTTTTTTGTGTGTTTTATTTAGCAAAAAATAAAAAGCTCAGTATTGTGTGTGTGTATGTGTATATATATATATATATATATATATATATATATATATATACCGCCAAAAGAAAGCTCTATTTGTGTGAAAAAAATTATAAAAATTTCATATGGGTACAGTGTTGCATGACCTCACAATTGTCATTCAAAGTGCAACAGCGCAGAAAGCTGTAAATTGGCCTAGGCAGGAATGGGGTAAAAGTGCCCGGTATTGAAGTGGTTAAACTAACAGGTCTATAATTACTTGGTAAAGATTTTGACCCCTTTTTAAATATTGGCACCACCTTGGCCTTACACCAATACAGTGGTATTATGCCAGTCATTAAAGAGTCCCTAAAAATTAGAAACAATGGCTTTGAAATGACAGAGCTCAATTCTTTAAGGACCCGTGGGTGTATGCCATCCGGTCCAGGTGCTTTATTCACCTTTATACTAAGTATTTCTGGATAATATCAATTGTGAGCCAATGTGGATCATCTGGAGTTGTGTCAATACCATGCCCATTATGGACAATATCCCCCTCATTCTCCTTTGTATACAGAGAGCTGAAGAAGGTACTTAATAAATTTGCCTTCTCTTTGTCCCCAGTCACTCACTCTAGATTATTTTGTAAAGGGCCTACATGCTTAGACCGAACCTTTTTACTATTAATATATTTAAATAATTTTTTGGGGGTTGGTCCTGCTATCTTTTGAAATCTGATGTTCATTTTAAATTTTTGCGACCTCTATTTGCTTTTTGCATATTCTGTTATATTCTTTGTAATGTTTAAATGATGATAGAGTTCCTTCATTTTTATATTTACTAAAATCTCTTTTCTTATTATCTTATTATATATAGCTCTTTTAACTTTGGCTGTAAGCCATATAGGCTTGATTTTTAGCCTTTTAAACTGTTGCCTGTGGGAATATATTTTGCAATGTGTTCACATGCAGTCTTTTTGAAGAACTCCGATTTCTGTGTTGTGTTCATTGATGACAATATTCCCTCCCAGTCTAAGTCTTGGAAAGCAGCTCTCAGCCTTGGAAATTTAGCTCTCTTAAAATTGAGCGTTTTTATTTTACTATGTGATTTATTACTTTCTTTTTTCATTTGATCACCTCTGTGTATTTACACCTGTATGCAGTAGCATTGTTGGGATATGTAAAACAAGTACATTTGGGATGCACACTCAAATTCACATACAGTAGATGGCTAGGCTATTGTCCATAAGCACACAGTGGGGTTGATTTACTAAAATTGGAAAGTGCAAAATCTGGTGCAACTCTGCATAGAAGCCAAACAGCTTTCAGTTGTTTTTTTTTTTTTGCTAAAGCCTAAAGTGTTACTAAACCCACAACAGTAAAATAAGTCTATATATGAAGCAAAGCATACCTGTTACACTCATTGTGAAACCTAAGGGGTTAATTCTCAGCATTGTCTAAAAACACTATTTGATCCTGACTTCTCTGATCCTCCCCTTCTTCCAGTGCCCCCCTCTTATCTCCTGATAATAAATATCATGCGGAGTCGCTCTGCACATACTCAGTTTTGTGTGTATTGCTAGAGAGGGTTTTTTTCTTGGGAGAGTGCATGTGTTCAGCACAGGTCCAATCAGCACTGTCCAGACAGAGGTCAAGGGTTCTGCATCCTCCTAGAGCAAATGAAAACTCCTCCTACAAGCTTTAAAAGTGCACAGATTGACACTGACAAAAGTCACAGAAGACTGCTCTAACTGTTGATGAGAAAAAGGTATTTAGCAGTTTATATTTACTAAAATAATTGCACTCCTATATTCTGTGGGAGACAGGTATAGTGAATGCAAGGTTCTGGGTTTAGTAATGCTTTAACTGAGCAAGCTAAAGTTAGAAGCTGATTGGCTTCCATGCACCAGATTTTCCACTCTTTAGTTTTTGTAAATCAACCTAAGTGACTCTGGATGTCCAACTCAAACCTTTAGTTCAGAATTTCTTTTGCAAATGACAAGGCTTATGATCTCTATGAATTTTAACTTCTTTACACGAGTAAGAAGGCTTTGTTTTTTCAGACCGTACTGATTCAGGCTTCTCATGGACTTCCTCCAGTCAATACCTTACTTATTGTCCCCTTCTGGACAACATCCTTCCTTGGAAAGAGCTTGTTCTCAGAAGGCACACAACCTAATTATTTGTAGCATGAGCTGTTAGCTGGCTTTCTGGAGGTTGAGGTCTGTCTACATGCTCTCATCTTAGTAGGGTTTGTCACAGGCAGTGCTGGATCTCACAAATTGTCAGAAAGTCAAGTGACACTCATAAGGTTCCCCAAAGCTTCACCTCAGCCAAGGGGGGCTTTTTCCTAAGGCTATATTCCCATATGTAGCTGGGGATGAAAACAACATGTGGTTGAGATGCATTTTCACACACCCCAACAGCTTCCCCTTAAGCTGCAAAGGCAGGGAATGTACTGCCTGTCAAACAAAACCCATTCCACTGAATGGGACCCTGTCAAAACCAGCCTGCAGCCACATTATCAGGGCTTGTTTACCTGTGGCTATGCTGCTACCCCTCTGAATTCCTTGGTGGATTGCTTTTCAGAGACCTAGTGATGATTGAGCTACAGAAGGGGCTTCTCTTGCACCTCTTGTCCAACACCCATGGTAGTGAAAACAGGAAAGTGAAGACACACACTGGCATGAGGGCCAGTGTAACAGGCAGCGCCAGCTGGTGTTTGCAACAAGTAGATGACCTTAGATTACCAGGCAGGAAACGGGAAGTGGAACACTTGATTAGCAGAGGGAACATAGACAGGCCACAAGACAATAGGGTCATCAACAGCTGGGCAGCAAGGTGTAGAAACAGCAGGCAGAGCACAGAGTCAGGATGCAAGCCTGGATATATACACAGCCGGGCAGCGAGGTACAGGAACGCAAGGCAGAAGCAGAGCCAGGATACAAACCAAAGTCACAGCAGGCAGGCAGAAATCTAAAAACCGGTCAGGAGCAAGCCGAGTCATACATGGCTAGGCAGGTATAGCAGGTCAAGGGTCAGGATAAGCAGAACTAGCTGAAGACCACTCAGCAATCCATTCATGGCACAGTCGAGCTTAAATAGGCCATTTGGTGCTAGTGCCAGCTGTGCATGTGCAGGTGTGCATATCTTTTGAGCACATGCTAATACATTTGTGCATGTGTTGTCATGGTCCTTTTGCATTGAGTCCTTGCTCAGAATGATGAGCATATGCATTAACATAAGCATGTTACAGTCTTCTGGCTCCAACACATTCTGAGCTTCTATTAGAGTGTTTTTGACAGGAAGTGAAGAGGCTGTATGTTGCCTTCTAACCACCTGATTTAACCCTCAAAATACTGACCTGTGGTGAATGGTTGCATTTTGCTGCATACTTCATGCCTGTTTAATTTTCCACAGCTGCATGCCTTAGTTTAGGTGGGTGGTCAGAGAACAGTAAAACCATTGGTCAACTTGACTGATTTGGCCACCCCCCCCTAGATGTCTGTATGGATGAGCCCTAAGTTAGTATTTTTCATAGAGGTATTGCTTGATATAAACAACCATTGACAGAATGAAAAACATAAGTATGTTCCTTGAATATGTTTACATACTAAGGGAGCCCATAGATGAGTCCAAAAAACTCCACTCTCTTGGCCTCCGAGACTCTGCTCTCTCTTGGTTCTCCTCCTACCTATCGCAGTGCTCCTTCAGCGTTACCTATAACTCTGGCTCCTCCTCTCCACTCCCTCTTTCTATAGGGGTCCCTCAAGGTTCTGTCCTTGGACTCCTACTCTTCTCCATCTACACCTCCTTCCCTGGTCACTTGATAAACTCCCATAGCTTTAAGTACCATCTCTATGCTGATGACACACAAATCTATCTTTCTACTCCTCACCTCACCCCCTTCAGTCTCCTCTCGCATTACTAACCTACTAAGTGACATATTGGCATAGATGTCACTCCACTTCCTCAAACTCAATCTTTCAAAAACTGAGTTCCTAGTATTCCCTCCAGCCCGTGCCGCCTCCCCTGACTTCTCCATCAAGATCAATAACACAACCATCAGTTCCTCCCCTCATGCCAGGGTGCTAGGTGTAATCCTAGACTGCAATCTGTCCTTTCAGCCCCAAATCCAATCGCTGTCCAAATCTTGTAGACTTCACCTCCACAACATCTCCAAGATACGCCCGTTCAGGGGTGGACTGACAACTCATGGGGCCCCTGGGCAATAGGGGATCATGAGGCCCCTGTGTTCTTGCCCAAACTCAAAAAAAGCCTATGAAAAAAGTACCAAGGGGCATCTCATGGGGCCCCCTACTGACCCAGGGCCCTAAGGCAGTGCCCGAGTTTCCAAATTGTCAGTCCGCCCCTGCGCCCGTTCTTAACCTCGGAAACTACTAAGCAACTTAATCACTCCCTTGTTATCTCTCGCCTTGACTACTGTAACTCCCACCACATTGGCCTATCTCATCGCAGGCTACCCCTCTTCAGTCTATCATGAATGCTGCTGCCAGACTCATCCACCTTACTAACCGTTCTG